TGGGTTCAACTGTATATCAAAAATTGTATCTGCGGAACTGAAATTGTTTTATAAACCTCAATTAGGCCTCATACCACCCCCCTGAGGCAAGAAAGAAGTATTATGCACTTGTATGGAGACACACACTGAAAACCCATGGAGACGTTAATCAATTTGCAATCAAATGTCTTATAGCTGGGCTGCAGTGAGTTAGGAACAAAATGAATTTCTTCCTAGGGAGCAGCTTACCTTCTTTTATTTGCCTGATTATTAGAGTGTATGAAACTTTGGAAAATTATGAATGTTCAAAAGAAACCCCTGAGAAAGGATTAGCATTTGTTTCCCAGTTTAGTAAATGAGTGATTTGTTTTTCATGCAAAAGCAAAGCACCTCTTTTGTTTTGCCATACACTTCGGTGGAAATGACCCCTTTGAGGAAGGAGGAAAAGAAAAGCAAAGAAATTCAGGAATTAGGACAGCGATTGGTAGAACATTTCTTATCCTTTCTTCTCTACATCTCCCTCTACACAGCAACCTATGCAGCTGTTGCACGCTAGAGGGCGCATGAGGTGGAAGAAAAAAGCCTCGACATCCCTTCAGCTAGGACAGTTGCCCGTGGAGGCGGGAGACGGCCACCTAAAAGCAGCGATCTCTTTATCCGCAAGGCAGCATAACTTCGGTAAACGAACAAACAAAAAATCTTTAGACAGTATTATGCAGCTTTGACAAATAAAGAAATTCTGTGCATATTCTCAGTAATGTAATTTCCTTGCATCTTCTTGGAACATTTGTCCAGTGCATGTATAGCAGTCTCTAGTAACCAACTTGATGACAACTAATCAGAACTATAAACCCCGTTTTAGGCATAATAAGAGACGCTGGTGTGCCTTCCCTACCCCCATATATTTGTATTCATGTGTAATGATACATTAGTATAAGTGTGCAAATTTCAAATGATCGTAATCTTCTAAGTCTGATTTAAGATCAGTTAAATTTAATTAATATGTTTTAATGTTGATGCAATCTGATATACCAAATTAGTAGTACTTGCGGGGGGGTGGGCGGGTTTGGGAGAAAAAGCTCCCTTCCGTTGCTCTTTCTTCTTTTTAAAGCACAATGTGAACTATTTTTATTTTTTTCCTCTTCATGGCTCCCACGTTAAACAAGAGGGGTCTGGAATCTTAACCTAGCTGCTGTTCTCTTTCAGGAAAACCAAAAACCAAAACCTACAACCAAACAACAAATGAAAATGTGTGTAGTCCACCACACCTGGGCTGGCTTATTTGATAGCTTTGTACCAGTCCCCTTAAATCTATCTGCTGCCCCGCCCCCCCACCCACCCCCATTCAGTTTCTGTTTAGAAGCTGAATTGGAGCTTATCTCTTTTCTAGCACCTGGGAAGATGAGAGATAATGCCATTTTGAAAAAACTTCTCCAAAATGCTCTCAGCACAGATGTGGTTTTCAGAAAGTGTTTACACCTCCATTTACTGAAAATATAATGGCAAGCTCAAGATTAGTAATTACAGTCAATATTAAGAGATCCAGGTCTAATTTCAGGGACCGCTAAAAGCAGCTGCCAAGAAATGTAGAGCATCACAACTCTAAACAGAGAGTCCAGTGATGATTGTACCCCAAGAATCCATAACCATTTCTAAAGAAGTCAGTTTAATTTCTCAAATCCTGTAATAAACGCTGGTGAAGCAATAAGCACATGATAAATTTAGTGTGCATACACTTTTCTTTGTCTTTATTTTACTTTATTTATTTTGTTTAGGATAGTATTCAGCCTTAGAATATTCCAGGACAAAAACAATAGGTAGTCATATAATACCATACTTTACTTTTATTCTTCTCATCTTTTGATAGATCACCTGAGAAAAGAATAGCCTAAGGCAGTGGTTCTCAAACTTTAGCAAGTCACAGAATGTCCCAGAGTATTTGTTAAAAGGCAGATTTCTGAGCCCCACCCAGATGCAGGGCAGGAAACTTTGCATTTCTAACAAGTTCCCTGAAGATCGGGAGGTACCAGAGATCACAGTTTGAGAACCACTATAATTGCTCACATTCTCTTAACTTGAGCACCATCACGTCTTTTCATGATTTTGGTAAAGAAGCTGGTTTAAAACAAACCCTTAAACTTAAAAAAAATAAAACCCACACTTTTCTAAATTTATTTAAACATTTAAATTTCTAAAAACAGCTTTCCTAATCTTTCCATTCTTATGACTTAGGCTCCAATATTGAAAGTCAAACTGAAATTTCAAAGTTTTCTTTTTTTTGCCTAATGACACAGTTGTTACATACTTCTATATTAAATATATAAAAAGTGTGTTTCTCAGGAAATTACTGAGAATAAAATATGTACCCCCTCCAAAAACAAAAAAGACATGGTCATTTTCAGATTTTTCATTGGAATTCCATAAGCTGAAATATGAGAAAAAGTTCCTGAATTCCTAGAAAATATTACATACTTACTGGTGTTATGTTTTTGCCTTCTTCATATTCACATTCTTCAAGTTTTTATTTTAAACCTTATTTTGAAATACCCTTGGCAGGTATCACATTATAAAATCCCTTCATTCATGGAATCCACACTCCTCAACCTTACCTTTAAGATGTATTCCGTGAGTAAATGAATTAATTAATTAATCTAAATATTAATCTAAATTTAGAAGCAGGAACTGCCCTGGCAGTCCAACCTTAAGACTCTGCCCTTCCACTGCAGGGGACTTGAGTTCAATCCCTGGTCGGGGAACTAAAATCCCTCATGCTGCGTGGTGTGGCCAAAAAAAACAAAACAAAACAAAATTAAAAGCCATCCAATAAAACTGAAAGTTCTCAGTAACAATACCATGGTAAACACATTTTTTTAAGTTAGTTTATTTTAGTTTTTTATTGTGTGCTGAAGAAGGAAAAGATGAAAAGTTTGAATTTTATCACAGGGAGTAATAGATAAGTTCCATTCTGCCATTTCCTGCCCCAACTGTAGAAGTTGGAGTCTTCCTAGCTCTCCTTCCCCCTTCCAGGGCTCTGATTCCTATAAGCCATCTGATTCCTCACCCTTCAACTAACCAGTCACTTGGTTTACTCTCTTCCTTGCTGAAAATTAGAAGAAAAGTTCCACTCCTAGTGAAAAAGGAAAGTGTCTTTTACTACATGGAGTCACTCTCCATCTCATTCTACTGCAGAGACTCCTCTGCAAAATAGTCTGCCTGTCATCAAAATGCAGGCTGGAGACATCCTGCCTCTCATCCCACTGTAGCATCAATCAGCCAAGGTTATGGTTATTCTGAATGCAATCTTCTCTCTCACCGACCCCTAACCCTCACTCCTTCTCTGATTATACTCCTGCCCTATCAGATAACTCCTCACCCTTCCTCCCCTGAAATATTCCACAACACATGCAATTTTAGCGGCCACCCTAAAATTTAGCCTGTGTAACAGTGCTCTTCCTACTGGAAGGCTATAACCCTGGAGAGGATGTTGAAAGAAGACTATCTTAAGGATTTAGGCTCTCACCATTGTAACATTACACTGCATCCTATTAAGGGGGTAGAATTGTTGAAGAGGCAAATGCCTTGTCTTTCAGCATCCCTGATTATTTTAGAAATATCCTTATAGCTCTTTTTAACATTATCCTAATCCTCTTTCATACTACTTAATGATCCAGGCCTCTCCCAAGAATTAGGAGAAAATTAGCAGGAAATTCCTACTGCAGTGCTTTGAGCAGAGTTTAACAATGTAGAGAGAGAGGGCTACCTTGAATTCTAGATGGCCAAAATTCAGCTAGGACAGTGTATGCAACTGCTCAGAGAATAAATGTGGCTAAGGTGAGTCAAAACAAACTCATTCTAACCCAAGGTAACTCAAGCCATTGGATTCTGACTCTCTTCACTTTGTCATCAAAATAGTTTTATTTTTCCTTTAGGAAAATGAGATTTGAGGATAGTGTCTAGCTCTACCACTCTAGCTTTCTTTTGAGGTGAGTTTGTTACTTGTAACAATTCCCAGGCTTCAGTAACACATAAACTTTTCTTTAGTTCTCATAGATGTAAGAAGGTACCCCAAGGAAAGGTTTAGCATTTGTTCAAAGTGAAAATGAATGTCTGAAAATTAAGCACAGCCCAAGGTGTGATCTATTTCACTTGGTTCACTTGGGACTGCCTGGTCCAACAGCAGTTAAAATTTGATTGAGGCGTGACTGCTGTTCCTTTTTCCAAGACAGAATTAGCCAATTCCTGAATACCCTGTAAGCAGACAAAATCTGAGCTGGGAACAGTTACTTAGTGACTGCCTTGTGGGAAAATACCTCCTGGTTCTCTTCACCCTCTCTCTGAAATAATTCACTAAGTTTCTTGCCCATATCAGCTAGAATGTGAAACTGACAGATATTAGACCTGTAGTCAATATTGTTTTCAGTATTTCACCAATGGATGGTAGATGCAGCAGACACAAAACAGTCAACTTTGCATAAATATTATAAGCATACTGTGTCTGTTTTCTCATTCTCTTCCCTCTGTCTCATTAATTTGAGTCCGACAGTACAAGCTTTACGGACCTTGTGTCTGGTTCTCCATACCCTTTCTTTTTCCGTTCCGGCTCTGTCCCCAGGTAGTAAAACCCTTCCTCAGAGTTCAGCTTTAGTGCACAGAGAATGGACTAAGTGTCCTGTGGCGGGAAGTTAAACAAACAAACAAGCAAACAAAAGATTGGCTCATCGTATTTTTCACGAATTTTATTAAAAGATGATAATAGTGGCCGCATATTCCTACGTGTTTGCCCCATTGTGAGAAGAAAAGACATCTGGACCTCCTGATTCATGATTCCTCTTCTTGCACTGTCTCTACCCCAGGGTGGCCAATTCTCAAGGTTTGAGTGGAGTCTATTAAAGGACCTGAAAGGGCATCTCGTGGCGGAGGCAGAGGAGCTGCAAGCATGGTGCCTGAGAGGAGATTTGGAGGCAAGGGCACATTGAGAAGACCTAGTAGTCCCTCCCTTTATTTCCCAAGCAAGTTCTGCCTTTTTCACACGGACTTACTACGCACCCCTCGTGGCTGCCCGTCTGTGCTCCCTCATCCCATCGCCCTAAAGCAGTAGAAGCCTGGGGATATGAGGAATGCGCACCACCCACAGGACCACGACGCACGGCCTCTAAAACCACAGCGTCTGAGTAGTAGGCAGCGGCCTTACAAACACTCCACCCGGTCCCCTCGTGGTTCTTGGCATAAAGAGAAGGTAAGCTGCCCACGCGCACCCCTTTGCCCTGTCGCGTCCTCTTCCTCCCAAGAAAAACAGCCCTGGATCACTGGGATTCTTTTCAAGATCTCGCTAGCCTCAGAGCTCAGGGAAGACTCAGAAAGCTCGCGGGTACCTCCTCCGCATCCTTTTATCGTCTGCCAGCCCTCTTATCCTTGAGCCTGGCCCTCCGAGGGCTGCTCTCAGGACACGGAAGGGCGCATCTTCCCGGAGTGGCTCCGGGGCGGAGACGCGCAGGGCGTGCTCGAGAGCGAGGAGCGAAAAGTTGTGCGCCCACTTGGTAGCGGGGGAGAACTAAGGAGCGAGCGCGCCAGAGCGCCGGGGTGGGGTGGGGTGGGGGTGGGGTGGGGGGGCGGGATGCCGGGCGCGGGCGGGGAGGGGGCCCGCTTACATGAATTTCCAAGTGGTAGACCTGCCTCTTCGCTCTGCCCAATGAGATCCGTCAGGGGAGGCACCAGACTCACTTTTCCACATCACTTCACAGTTACATTTGGCAGGCAGGCGGGCTCGCACGCCGGAGCGCTCAGCCCAGAATTCGTGAATCTATTTGGAATCTCCCTGCTTCCTCGAAGCTCATCCCTGTTGCCGGTTTGTGCACGGACAGTAGCGCCCACCCAGCGAAGCCGCACTTTGGGCTGCGGACACTCAGGGCCCGGCGCGCCCGCCCGGCGTCTCCGCACCAAGCCCCGAAGCTCCAAGAGGCATGAACGCGATCCGGAGGCGCCTGCCCAGCGCGCGGGGAACGCTCGGTGTTCACCGCCCTCGGAAGCCGACCTCGAGCCCCTCCAGCCATTTGTGAACTAAGAGACTTGAAATTCGCCGGCGCGGAGCCCCGCAAGAGTAAGTGGTCCCCCTACGCACCCTCGTTTTACTCCACGCCCCGAGGACCCAGAAGGGACCTTTTCTTTTAGGAATCCCATGCCCCTTCCGACACCTCGCGCGCCTCCTTTCTCTCGGTTGGTGGATGCGGGTTCGCCGCCCGGGTGCGGGGCTGAGCTCTGTCTTCTTTCCTGCTTTGAACAGATGATGGGATCACCTCAGGGTTCTGCCAGACGATTTTTTGCAGCCTGCTCTGACAGTAGATCCTGGGGAGTAGTAGCAAACGGGCTGTGCCCCTCCAGTTTTCCTGAGGGCTCCCTCGCTGTCGCCTGGCGATTTCGCCGCCTCACGACACAGGCAGGCGCTGCTGCAGCCGGGCGCCTTCACTGCGGGGTCCGTGCGGTGAATGGGAAGCACCCGCCGCCGGATGAGAGGCAGGTGCGATCCCGAGCAGAAAGGAGGGGAAGGGGATCGGGGGTGCCCTCTGGCTGATTTGCTGCACCGCCCCACCCCCGAGGAGAGGGAGGGTGATCCCCGCGGTCGTGCGGGCCACGACTCAGCTGCGAGAGCCCCAGCGCGAGGCTTTCCCACAAGTGGCTCCTCCAGCCCGGGAGCGCGGTGCCCGCTGCAAACTTGCCGGGCTCCCCAGCCGCCCCGCGGCTCTGCGGACGCGGGGATGCTGCCCCGCATCCAGGCAGGACCCCCAAGCAGTGTGCTCCCCGAGCCCGCGAGACTGCGCTCACAGAGGCCTCCTGAGCTGAGCCAGACACTCCCTCAGACTCCGGCAGAGCCCGGAGCTGCGCTTTCTGACATCTCACTCCTCCCCGTCCGCGAACCCTTGCGGGGCGGGCTGCGCCCCTCGCAGGGCCCGAAGCAAAGCGGGCTCTTGGCCTGGGTTCTGCCAGCGCGTAACAGGTTCATAAGGGACTTGCGCCTGTTCTCTCAGGCTCCAGTCAAGCCAGGGAGCCGGCGAAAACCTGCCGCCGCCAACGATGATGCCAACAGGTATCCATAATTTCCTGCGTCTTTTCCCTCCCCAAGACCAAAGCCTTCCCCATCCAATCTGGCAGAAACCTCAAAGTTTCGTTATCGTGGACCCTTCCGCGCAGGCATAGAGCCGGCTGCACGTCCAGGACTAGCTGTTTGCCTTCCCGAGGCGAAATGGCAGCTGTTTGCTTGGGTTGCTAAATGTAAGATATCAAACAACATTAATTGTTTATTGTTGCAAACGCACATTAGTCAGTGATGGAAAATCAGGCTGGCAGCTGCTCACTTCAGCTCCAGTTAAAGGATAGAGCTTATACTCAAGCAAGGGAGAAACGGTCTTTTCAACTTTACTACCCTTTCCTGAAGATTCCACAAGAGTTTCCTCTTTAAGAGGCATGATCCGACCATCCCTTAGCGCGCCGGAGCTGCTAATCAGATCAGCCGGCTCCTTTCTCTCACCGGCCTCATAGAATTTGTGTGCCGGGAATGGGAACGGGGACGCTGGAGAAGGCATAGGAGCACTGCCCTCTCGAATCGATCCCACAGCGAAGCAGATCGGAGGGATTGGGGACGGTTGGGGCCCTTAGAAAGCGCCTGCCCTCTTTACAGCAATCCTGACAGCCATCTCAATGGTTAACAACCCTCCCTTGGCTGTCACCTCTGGCTTCATTATAGGAGCTTTTCAACTGGAAAACTGTGTGTGGGAAAGAGATATTTATGTAAGATTTGAGAGTGGGATTTTCCATCCATTGAACCTGGCCGCTGTACCTCACTGCATGCAAAATGAGCCCTGTCGTTCATGGCAAACACAACTGAATGTTCTGCCTGGCTTTTGCTTTTCATCAGCTGTGTCCAGTTTTGCAGGGGTTTTATCTAGTGTGTGCGTGTGTATGTGTGTAAGAGAGAAAGAGAGAGAGAGATTCTTTTACCGACAGGTCTGATACCTTTAGAGGATGTTCTCTGAGGGTTACATTTATTTTTTTTTAATCCCTCAAAGGAAGTTCTCCATAATCATCATGTCCCGACATGTTTTTCCACTTCCCTGAGCTCTGTGGCTGAAAGAAATTCTAGGGCTATCCCTCTTTTTAAATAAATAATACTAATAATAATATTCTGTAATTCTGCTTTAGCAGATTTGAAGCTCCCCATCACATAGTCATTTCATGCTGGAGCAGTCGCAGGATTTTAAATCACCTTTGATATTTTTTTTTTTCCTGGACTCTGAAGAGGGCTTGGAGTTGAGAAAATCTGTTCTGAAAACAGAGAAGAGCCTTCCCAGCAACTCAGGGGATTGCTTCATTCAGGGCTGTTCCGCAGCAGTTCATCTTCCTCATTCTGTTCCCCAGCCACCCAAACGGGCGTTAAGGTATCCTGTGACCATCACAAATAAGCCAGATATTTCAGAGACACTGAAATTTGTGCTGCAATGTTGTCATGCAAACTTTTTAATCATTCTCCCCTTCAACCTAGATCTTATATTTCCAGTTATTATTACTATTTAAAAATCAATTCTTCTGCCTTATAATCTATATCTCTTAAAACTCTTAAGACCCCAAATGGATAGATCTCTCTACCCAAGACTCTTAATATATTTTGGCTGCATTTTTGGTGTCCAGGATACATTTCTTGAGCTCTTGAAGGTGTTATGAATTTAGCTGAAGAACAATTTTATAGCAGCCCTGACTGGAATAGCATCTCCATTTGCCTGCTCTACACATATCAACTTGAAAGGGAAGGAAGTCTTTAACGTGAAAACTAACTTTATTTGGGCATCATGCAGAACTCTGGTCAAGACAGTATTCATCTAAAGCAGCCCCTTAGTTTAGCACCGAACACAGTTTAAGTAGCCAATGGCAGTATGCTCTAAGTAAAAAAAAAAAAAGGAATAAAAAAACTAAACAACCTGTAAAACACGCTCAGCAGAATGTAACAGACCACTTGAGAAGGCATTTTGAAAACACTGTTACATAAATATACTCATGGTGCAACATTTCCTTGTAAACTCTGTATAGATTTAAAGTCTGATTGCTCCTGGTTAGCAGGGAGCACCTGATTGTTGGAACAAAGCAAGAAAACTCCACAGAAGGAGGGTATAATGATTCTACTCAAGAAATTGTACCTCAGGTCTTTCCTTTCCAGGTTCCTTTCACTGTTTATTGGCGAGGAAAATGGAACAAGCACATACAGAAAAGTGAGAATCCACACTTCATCAACTGTTCAGAAGTAACCTTATCATTAGAAGTAAACTAATGCTTTAAAGAAAAAAATAATAATCTTCGTATTCTTCTACTCAAGGTGGCACACTTTATGACTTAATCAACATTCCAATCTGAGCAAATTTTCCATGCACGGCCAAAAGCTTTTCATGGGTAAAACGACATTCAGTTTGTATTGCCAACCATTCTTTCTTTCCCCATCAGCAAAGTTCTGTGTTTGACAAATCAAGGAACAAACATAATCAGAATAGCCTTTAAATTATAGATGAAATCTAAGGTCCCAAGACGTTCTTTTGAAAGTATTTTGCTCAATGGTGCTGTTGATAATTTTGTATTTCTTACAATGTTATTCAGAGAAGCAGGAAAAAATGCAGTTTTCTCTTTGTTTTAGCACTGTTGGCATTCACAGTTGAAATGGACCAATTTTGCTTTTTAGTTTAGGAAAAGGCTTCTAACTGTGGCGTATTGTACACCACCTACAGAGTGTAGAATTAAACCAAAGCTGATTCCTTTGCTCTATATTATGTGTTGTACACACACACACACACACACACACATGCATGCACACACACACGCACACACACCTCTTCTAGAAAACCTGAAAACGTCCCTAGATAACTAACTCATTTATTGGTTCAAGTAGCAGATTTGTATCATATTCCCTTTGCCATTTCATCAGCTTTAGATTATTTGATTTGCCCTCCTGGCTTCTTGGATTTGTATATTGACTAGTCTTTTAAAGCAAATACATCTGTTTGTGGTGTGGGGAAATTTTTTCCAGAATCTCATAAATGTATATTTGTGAAATAGAATAATATTTTGATGGTTCAAGGCCATCAGCTGATGTAGTGGGGCTTAATTAACCAAAGAGCTATTAGTTTGCTCTCATTCCATTCCCATAGAAAGTTGTTGATGCTGTGATGTGTGCAATATATCTCTGCTGAACTGTTGGTTCTTGCCCCTGGAACCCGCTTCAGATGTAACCAGGAGGAGAAAATTAGTTGAACCTGGCAACTTCAGAAGGTCAGAAAAGAAATAAGTTCAAGGGATGCCATTTAGCTGCTTCTCCCACATGTTGCTGTGAACGAAATCTCCATCACCTCTTCATGGCAAAGCACCGGGGCCAACACAGTTTCCTTTTTCTAATGTCCTAAGCTTTTATTTCCTGCGTTTAAATGTCATGTGCTATTCCCTGTCACAAATATCATCCTCCTTCTTGCTTTTAGAAGTCTTGCTTTTTTGTATAGTTCTATTAGTAGGTAGAAATATATAGCTGTGATTTTCTGTGTCTCTTTGGACAGCATCATAAAAGAATAACCCTTGTATTTAGAGCCTTCAAACAGTTTCCTTCCCTACCCTCCTTGCCAAAGACTACTGCAAATGCTAGAATGATGGTTGGTTGAGGGCAAAGCATAGTTAGTGCTCAGTATACATTGATTTAATGCATTAATGACTGGCAAACACTATGCCTTTTTTTCCCTTTTCTAGTGTATTCTCAGTAAAGGGGAAGGAGGGATGCAATTATATCTAAAGTCCAATATTGTGACAGTCTACCTCAATTTTCTCTACAGAAATTTCATAAATTGTCCCAAGTTTATTCTTAAACACAGCTTTTCCACATGATATGGACATATAAAAATGACCTAATTCAGCTTTGTAAAATTGAGAATGCCTCCAAGACTAAACTTGCATCAAGAATGCTATTAAACTCTTTGTGATGCAAAGTTATATTTTATTGGGAAAAATGCTCTAATTATGGAAGTGTTGCATATATAACTCAGTGTCTGTACCTTTCCCTTGCAGAGAATGTATAAAAAA